CTGGTTCAAGGGGTAATCAAAGTCAGACCTCCACGATTAGTTTTACATAAAAGTAGGACAATAGATGTGCGTAAAACAACTGCAAGAATACAAGAGGGTAGATCGAATCCAATAAGGTCTTCGGGACCGTATTTATTGACATTCTGGCTTTAGACTAGTCTCCACAGGACCGCTGGTAGCCAAACCGAAATACGCAATGGTTAGTCGAAAATTTTTGACTTAATTTGGCGAGATCCAATGAGATCGACAGTCTTGGGCCAATGGAATTGGAGAATCTAAATTGGCAAACTTGCGAGTATCATCCAATAAGGACGCCGATCTATGTACTGGCAATTTGTTAGCCATCTTAACCTAACAAGCGAAGACTAAGAAACTTTTGTTCCGTCTTTACAGTATCCAGTCACCCAGACGATATGTAGTTCTAAATGGCAATTATTTTTTCAACCACTTGAAGTTCAACCCAGTAAAACAGGCCTTTCGTTGGGCTCTGTTTTTGCATTTCTCAAATTTCAATTTTGATAAATGGCTTCACTCATCATTTGTGGAACTACGCATTTCAGTAAACCGGTTAACCACTTTGCTTATCAGCTTCCTTGTTGTGACTCTCATTAAGCGAACAATCAAACGCGACTCGAACTTCTTGCAGTCGCTTTCAGGAATGTCAAAAAGAACGGTTCCCGGAATGCTATAATTGAGGATATCTTTTGTTTTTTATTATGGCCCAACCCAATAACATACCATTCTCCAAATAACTTAGAGCCCGCAATCAGGGAGTTTTGATCAACAGCAGTAACTAAAAATTCTTTCTTCACAGAAATGTCATTTTGCCATCTTCTGCTCTGCACAATTTGTATTTCAATTTTAAACGAGCACACTTCGGCGTTTTTCCGTGTGTCTTAAGAGAACTTACTATGCATCACAACTTCCAAACCGCATCCGCTGTACATCGCTCTCGTTAATAAAGGACAACTCATCGGTTAAAACGCTAACAAATAAGATTTCCTAAAATGACAAACTTGACAGCGCAGGTGCCGGTTTAAAGTTCATAAATGTGTTCCGCCGATCTTCTGCTGCTTCTTGACCCAACTGCGAGGGATCCAGCTCATCAGTCGGTCCCCCAGCAGTTAATCCGTGGTGGCCGATGGACTTCGGGTCAAGGTCTCATATTAAAATTCGACTTTAGCCCTTAAGTATCAAACAGACATATTTGCTCCAAGCCAGGGATAAATTTCCGCGGGTAATAAGAGCTGTAACCGATAAGTAAATCCGATCGCGAACTCATACACTAGCAATCGTCTGCACCCAGGAAACACTATTTGTATACTTTAAATTAATTTTTTTGGTAGTGTACTTTAGTGCACTGTAACTTTGAAACCGAGGTTGGATTCACAATTCGTCTTTGGCGTTTTAGTAAACGTCAGAAACGGCAGACTGGACGACCAATATGTGGCCGATTAAGGTTTTTGCTCGTTTTCAGACCGCGACGTTTCCTGGCTCATAGAAACCGCAAGAGTAGTTTACTCCAATGTAGATTATTTGAAAATAAGGTGAATATTGGTCCTTTGGAATCTCTGTTTGTTTCAAGGAAAGAAAGTATATCAAAAGGCTAAATAACCGAATAATCAAGCATGCACAGAAGAATTATCGGAACTCTGCAGATAAACGATAAATTCCAGGCGTTAAGAACAATGACGCTAAAACCTTTGAAAAATTATCGCCCTAAAAATTACCGACCTTTGCATAGCCAATCAACTTAGTAGCCCTTCCCAGCATGTTTTTTTTTACCAGATCGCTCTTGTGAAACATGTCATTTGTCGTCTCTCAGTCTGCTTACTTATCTTCGTAATAACCATCTATTTGTTGTCGTTATTTATTTTGATCTTATTAAGCCTTTGATAAAGTGCCACATAAAAGAATCTCGGTTAAATTAGGAGCTCTGGAAATTCGCAGTCACCTAATAGACTTTAACAAGTTATACTTGTCTAATCGTGATCAAAGGGTTTTGGTGAGATCCTCACTTTCCAGTGATAGCCCTATTGTATGCGGTGGCCTAGAAGGCATTTTTAGGTCCTCTTTTGTTCCTGCTTTTCATAAATGATATCTCGGCGACAGGCAAATATGCCCAATCATTTATTTATGCCGTTGATCGCAAATGTGTAAATTCTTTCAATAAATCTACGAGCCTTCATTGTCTGCAGCAAATCCATGCTGACTTGCCTGTTCTCTCAGCTTGGAGCTCAAAATGGCTAATGAAATTCTCTCCGTCTAAATGTCGCTATACGTGTTATGGACTTGATAGATTACTTCATCCATTGGTCTTTCAAGGTACACCTATGACTGGATATCCGCCATCCAGGATTAAGGGTTAATTTACATAAATGATGTTGATCACTCGCCACACGCTGGCAGAATTACAACCAAAGATGCCCGGATATTTGGCTTTATTTCTTACGATTTCTATCTTCCTGAAATTAAATTAAGACTCTATCGTATGTTTGTACTTCCCATTCTCGAGCATTGTTGCCCATTCTTTGGTTCGATGAATGAAGCTAGTCGTTTAAAAATTTAAAATGTCCAAAGACGTTTTTCTGAAAAAACTTTAAAATTATGAACATCCAAATATCTCCTACTAAGATAGATCCAGCTTATTAACCTAAAATTTTTATGGGTTCGAAGACTAGAAGCAGGCTTCTGTCTCCTCTTTCGCATTAATCATGGTTCAAATTTTCCTCGGATTTCAACACTTACCCCTAGTAGTCGTCCATAAATTCTTCGCATCTCTTCATTGATTATACCTCCCCTAGCTTCCTCCACCTCTAAACGCACTCTTTTGTCGCTTCCAGATATACTATCCTCTGGAATATCATTCCAATGAATAAAAGATCTTCATATAATCTACACACTTTTAAGAGAAGACTAAGTATCTATCTCAATACTGACTCAATTAGACTTTTATATTCGTCATCCTTCTTTGACATTTTTCTCTATGACGCTCAGGAAGGTCCATTGGGAATTTAGGACGCCGCCACTATATTTTCGTATCTGCTCACATTTCTTTCTTTTGTTAGTCGCATCGCTCCCTAGGATCCCTCATCGGAAATGTTAATTTTTCGATTTTTCAATTCATGCTTCGTGCCCTCACAGAATGCGCTGTTTCGACGTACTTGGCGAAGCCTTTCGTATTCGCCATATACTCGTTGTCTGGCAGCGTCTCCCTGGACCCCTACCCGGCTGCATTCGGCTGAATGTAATAAATCACATCTGGGATCCTATCGCCTCGAGACTTGTTTTCAATTCGCCACATTGGCATGAACAGTCACATCCGGCACGTTAATTCTGCCTTGATGATGCCTGTTTCGAGCCCTTTACTCAAGGCCACATACATGCCAGTCCCGCCTGACCCACCTACTTACCCTTTCATGAAATCGGTTATACAATGCCATATGCAGGCCGATCCTCCCTGCTTTTTATATAAAAAGGCGCAAGAGTTTTTTCTCCTATAGTTCTAATCCAATCAAACTCATTTTATTTAGTTTAGGAGTTTTTTTCCCTGCTCGCTCAGGGTTTTCCTAACATACTACTCATTCAATAACTACGAATTAAGTATGCCTGAAATTCTGTATACCTCGTTCAAAATTCTAAAATTAATGTAAAAGTTATTCTCATTTGCTATGATAGGACCCGCACGGATTTTGAGTAAATATTATTATTATTACAAGAAAGTACATTGTTCAGCACTCAGCCCATGGAAAATTGTGCTATAGAGAGTTGGTGCGAATTCAGTTATACATATACATATACATATATATATAATCCAAAGGACCGGAATGATTAGTTGTATTTGCGTAGAATGGATTTCGGGCAATCAGTGACCTGAAAAAAAAACGAACTTTACTGAAATATGGGTAGCAATATTGCAACAGTGATAAATTGTCGGAAAGGAACGTTAAGACGATATCGACCGAGCGACATTTTCGTGATGATGGTATAAAGATACAGCTTACGTTTGAAGCCCCGACGCATATGGACGTAACAAATTATTTTATGGTTGAGCACACCAAGCTTCAAACGCTTTTTTGGAAAGATGGAACTTCCTTATGTCCATTCTGACGCCAGTCACACGTAGTTTGCTTGGATGACGTCGGAGGTTCGTTGTGATTGTTTACTTAAAGAAGTCTCCAGGTAAAAGACAGGAGTCCTTACTTCGAATGATACAGTATGCTTGAATCAGATCGCCACTCAACTGTCCGTACGTCAATGGAGAGAGATTTCGATTGGACAATCGTGTTTCGTATGGAGAAGGGCCAGGAGACGAAGCACTGCATATGGCTCGAAAACAGGAAATTAACTGACGTTCATGTGTGAAGTCGGTTCGTAGTCCAAGTACTCAGAACCCCCAACCCTCCCATTTTATAGTAAAACCGGCTAGGGACGAGCATGAGCAAAATATTTTATATGTTCATTAGGGTCGATGGTGTAGGCCGGCACTGATTTAACAAACTATCTTTAAGTTGAAATCCCCTAGAGCACGTCGTAAATTTTCGAGTCCCGCTCGTACCCATTAAATCAGTAGGTCACTGTTCACGGAGCTCACAAAAGACTAACGCAGATCTACCGTGGTCGTTTTTACCATTGTCAACTTGTTTATTCAAGTCACAATGAGTGCTACCCATCGTGACTACGTAAGAGTTGAGAAAAAATAGCTGACTGAACTTCGAACCTTCTGTCGCCAAGGACAGTCTGTATTATGTACTTTGGACAAAAAAATGGACCAAAAATTGTTGAAGCATTCCTTCAAACCCTTTTGTTGTCCTCGTGTATTTTGGTGATTGAGTACCCTGCCAAATCGCAAACTGAGACAGGGACCAAATTGATCGAGTGGAAGCGCCATTTTATGAGTTAGGTGTGTCGCAGGATGGGCTAGAAACGTTTTGCGGTTTTTTGGCGTAGGCCTGGGTATCCGACGACAGCTTTTCTGAAACCAATTTCTTGTGTGCACTATGATGCCCTATTTCCCAATGGAGCTTGATATTCCTGCAAATGCTGCCAGGGAGTCTTCCTCAAACAGCCCACAGTCAGCCGCGGGCACCGCAAGTCGAATGTCACTCATATCACCCCGTCCTTCGAACAATCCAAATCAGTCCAGCCCTCTACGTGATCAAATGTTTTCTTCCGTCACAGCTGACATAAACCTTTTGACGAGCTCACCTCACACAGATTGCATGATGTCATCGTCTTTCGCCTCATCACTCGGTGAAATATCTGTGCATTTGCATAGGGTAAACGAAAGTCCTTCCTCAGGACAGCTAGATCTCACTTCCTCGACTCCCTGTGCTCTTTCCCCTGGTCATCACCTCGTTGAACGTTTCAGACAGTCCTTTCTTCCCGATTCCGTCGAGTTCGAAGCTCACTCAAGGTCGGGTTCCGTACGCCGAAAAGTGAATTCCTGTGCTTCATCAACCAACCAACACCGTCTTTGTTACACATCTGATCGGCATTCCCGCAATTCATTAGATTCCATGAATCAATTGCGCAAATGCCAGGAATTATGTGACGTTGTCCTTGTGGTTGAACCTAAGCGGATTCTCGCCCATAGACTTATACTAGCGGCATCATCTCCTTATTTCAAAGCCATGTTCACCGGAGAGCTTGCAGAATCAAGGCAGACTGAGGTAATTTCCCACGGAACATTTTTTTCGGCGAACGCCAAAGCAACGAATCTATTGCTTTGGTGTATAATTATGCAAATTGTTTCTGTGGCTTTTAAGCAAACGGTCCTAGACCTCCGTACTGAATTTAAAGTTCTTTATCCAATTTCATCGGTTCCCATCGGCTTTTTAACTCTTCTTTTGAAGTTCCTTTGAATTCTGCAGTCTTTTTGGTCGTGTTTCTAACAGCGCGGTCCCGATTCTGAAATAAACGTAGGTCGGCATGACTCGTGCTGATACTCCATGTCGGCCAATTTCGGGCGGCACCAACAACAAAGCCTACAGATAGCGACATGAGTTGAAAACCGTTAAAACAAAAATTTGTTTTCCCGGATTTTCATAGATTTTGTTCGACTATTTATTGTAAATAGGGGATATTAGGTGCACAGACAAAACTTACTTTACCATTTCTGGCCTGTTCGCCACTACTAATCAGCCCCCACAAACTTCATGCTGACAGGTCCTTTTGAGACCTTCCCTGATTATATGTTGAGTCTCCAAACCTATTTGAGATGCCTGTTTCGTTGCAACCTCATCGTCTCGGTGGTCGCCACTTGCAGATTACTGGAGTGCGCACGTTTTCTATGAATAGCACCAACGACTTCGCAGCAACTGCTTAATGCTCACGCCTCGTGAATTCATAACACACATTCCACCTTAGAAGCTAAAGTGACTGCAAGCATACTCTTGATAGTTGGTTGCTCTAAACCGAAGTGTGCCTCACATTGTCTACTGCTCTGGGGCACAAGTGTCAGACAGTTAACCAATTATTCTCTCATTCTACTTGTGCCTGGTGCGGCTGTGATTATGTCTAATCCATTCGATCTGGATGTCGCGGATTGTAACTCTCTGCGCGTGACGATATGCGGCAGCTGATCCGGACACCGGCCCAAACCACCCTTGTCCACTTTTTAATGGAGGCCCCGAGATATCTCCACAATATCCTGGCGAGGCAGACTGTCCCAGTTGGGTACTTCACTAAAATAACAGTTTTCCGCCAACGGTGGTCAGCCAAATCCGGTTTCTCCATATTTTCCATACGCAGCCCAGCATTTGCTCGTTAGCCTAGCTGTTGGCTGCCCGACGCATCCACTGACGACGAATTGTGGAACGGCCTTTGCCGAGGGTTAGCTGCGAAGTGGACAGGCTTTCGGGTGTAATAAATAAGCAGTCGCTGATCAGTAGCGGATTACTGGGGTTCATCACGCCGACTGCCTTATAAAACGGCGTAAGACCCGTTAATTGTCATTCAACAACTTTGTTTGCCGCCGCTGCTGTGCTCTGAGGTTATCAAGTCAAAGCTTTCGAGGAGATAACCGCGAACAAACTATCCGAGTGACTGTTGGAAATCTGTCTGCACTCAAAACTATGCCCAATTCCGATTTCGGTGACCATTGTCTCTGTCGCGGCTTTTGATGCCCAAGACGATGTAGAATACCTGCGAATGAGTGCAAGTCGACCTCGCCATTATTGCCAGAGTTTGAAACTATAAGAGGCCCCATGGTTTCCCGACCAAGCGTAAGTAATGAGCCTTGCTTTGTTTGGCGTTGCAATAAGTGCGAACGTCCTACCGTTGGCACATCAAGAACAGTCAGACCTAAGTGCCATCGCACATATGTCTGACATAGTTCTCCAGTTGAAGATTGTCCGGCGAAATCGGCCATACTTAGGAAAATTTATCAAGTCAGTAACCCATGACAGATGGCTGAAACTGCAACAAGTCAGAATTTGGACAACGTGAGTCCTTTTTACAATCAGCGCTAAAGTGCAATCTTACGAGATGTCCGGACTCACCAGCACTCTGCGAATCTCCAGTCTCGGCACAGAAGTCACTTTTCCGCTGGTTGCATGGATCACTGATCGCATATTCATGCATGCCGGAATTTTAGTGCATCGATTCTAGTAAAGTACTTGTTAATGCTGTGTACAGTAGGTGTAGTATCCCTTTTTCCTTTAAGCTAAGCTATTAGTTGTAGGCAGTTCGGCTTGATGAAAACAATCCCCCGAATTAAATGTATTACATTAAGCGCCCTGTGAACATACAACTGCGCAGTGGATGATTTGCGGTGCATTTGCGGACGTCATCGACATCAGCTTCATTGTTAGATCTGGCGACGTAGCGTCATCCGTGCTTTTCTATTGACTGATTAATGTTGTAGGTTTTCGAGTTGAGCTATATAGGTTGCTGATATTCCTATGAATCACTTTCCCTCTACGCGAGTAAGAGATACCGCAAAGGATTTGTAGCCTCACTAGCGCGATAATTATGTCCACGAGTCCGTTAATTGATATCGAAAGCTAAAATCGTTCTCATGGGGCACCCGTCACACTAAAATTTGACATCAGCCCAACAAGAATCCCGTGAAATTATTGAAAGTTTCGAGCACTTCACCTATGCATTTTATCTAACGGCACATTAAGGGGGAAATATGCCTTAAGGTAAATTCGACAACGGTCCATTTAACTTAACCCGAACTTCATAGATGTAGTTGAGGTTCTTCCGCACACTTGATGAGATTCGTCAGCCATTGAGTCGGTTACATTTTACGGGTTCAGCTCACCTTAAGTGATCGCCACCCCTTACAATCAGTCGACGTTAGACTCGCGATCGAAGTTGAGCTGGTTAGCGTGCCCCCCACACATACCAAAAACTGCAGTATCAAAGGTGTGCTTGAGGTCCACTTTCACCTCTTTCATCTGCGTCCTAAGTTGATCAGCCAGATGTCGTCTCCAGTCACCGACAAAATCATACTAACTGACATTCCGAGTGACTTCCCCCTTAAGTTGAAACCGGTCATGGATGGACCATCTAGATTGTCGAGTAAGCGGACGCGATTTACCGCTCTTGTTCCGCATCATCAGCAACATAGCTTTCCATCTTAAACGCGATCAGTATGGGTTGCTTTGGAAGTACGACACATGATTCGGCAGAACTGGATGCTAGGTTTATAAATTCTTCTCGCAGTTCACTCGTTAAGTGGCAATTCCGTCAGGAATACCGCTTTATACAGTCAATCCTGCGCTTCTTCGAATGCTGGCACGCGCCATCATATTGCGTTGGGCCTCTAGCTGATGAAGATAGTCATATTTCCGGACATCTCATACACTTGTGGCACTCCGTATCGTCAAATTAGTTTCTTATTTCCACCAAGACATTCACTCCCTTGATCTGCAGTGCCATTCCCTCTTTGCAGGTCAAACTTCACGATCTCGATCCCTCCGCTGTGGAAACGCTCGTGGACTTCTGCTACACTAGCAGGATTCAAGTTGAAGAGAAAAATGTACAGGCACTTTTGCCAGCAGCTTGCCTCCTGCAAATGACAGAGATCAAGAACGTGTGTTGTGAGTTTCTTAAACGTCAACTGGACCCAACCAACTGCCTAGGTATACGGGCCTTCGCCGATACTCATTCTTGTGGCGATTTGCTGGCCCTAGCTGATCATTTTGTCCACCAGAATTTTTTGGTAAGTTTGTTTTCCTAGCCTGAACTTAATTAAGCCTTTATTATTCACTTATTGTTCTATTTGGCCTTGAGCTTGCATAATTGCAAATATCTTCAAATACCTTTTCAAGACCTCGCAAGTTTGATTTCGTCCTGCCTGCAAGCCGCAATAGAGTAACTATACACAAGACAAAAGGATATGGAGTATTGCGTAACGAAGCCATTAACCGACACTGCCTGCTTTTTGCGAAGGTATCGTCCACTTAGTATGGATTGCTAGACCAATAAGAAACGAACCCTTGTAATGGCGTTTGGAGTTCCGACTTTTTGTTTTTAAGGCCCATTAAAGCAATTACAACTGAGTAGTCATTTCAGTATTAATGGAAATAAGACTCTTAGGTAACACCAAAAAATAGGGACCCACGCCTAGTGTGATGTATTTTCATTATAACATTCCAAGTAATAAAGTCGACCGCCTATCTTCGGAGGCTGAAGTGCTCTGCTCATAGGTCTCACTATATGGTGTGCTAGTTACGTGCGCACTTTCCCCGGCGTCTACCGTAGATATACAACCTCATGAAATGCTGACTGATATTCTGAAATGTGTTTTCAATTCCGCAGAATTACTTTATTAGGGTTAGAGTATTAGCATTTCACATGATGTTAAGCCATCCAGTCACGTCAAGATTCGGGCCTTCAAATGAGTTTCTTATCGACCATTTAAATAAGCTTCTGTGCAACATGACTACTTGAGTAGCATGAATTCTTCCTTCTGATTTTTGAGGCCCTTATAAATTCAGATACATTTTATAGAAATTATGCACAAAAATATTAATCTTCGAATTTGAAGAAAGAGTATCTTTCGGTTTTAGAAAAGTTTCCCAATTCCCGAATAATTTTTAGCTCGACCTGCCATTACACTTGCATTCATGGTTTCCAAATTATAGGCTGTGCAAGGAAAGTCATACATTTCTATACGTTATTATTAGGGGGACATATGGGGCTCATGAAATTTCACAATGGAAATGGACCGTATTGTCCACTGTATGGGCAGCATTAATAAATATGCTGATGCGGTGTTGTACGACTGGAATCCTCACTGTCCTAAATATCATACCTAGAAGCTCTTTCTGTAGGTATAAGATTTGAAGAGGACGTAATTTGCTGTCAGATGAGTAAAACAAAAATATTTTTGTGCATGTTTTCTACAAAGTATATTTGGATGTATAAGGACGTCGAAATCAATGAGAATGATTCATGCCCCTTAAGTAGTCATTCTTCTGCGGAATGTAGTTTATGCAGACTGTCGATAAAGGACTCCTTCGAAAGCCGACAACGTAACGTGGCTCCAATGGTGCTTGCAGGAAGAACCTCCGCTTTGCTGTGGTCAGCGTTACGCCCACATCGATTGTCTCCTGTCAAGAAGGTTAGCAAGATCTGGTAGGGAGCAGACACGCTTGCGTGGCGGTTACCTGGGCAGTCAGCTGACCGCCGGACTTCACACACCTGCCCTGACGTTATCATGAACTCGACACACACTCCTAGCAGCGTGGTGATTAAGTGTCTCATCTGCTCCCGCACCGACCGCAGGGTGTCTCGATATTGTCTTGCTATCGCAGCCAGGTTGGTGAGACAGGAAATTACGATTAATGCTGCGGAAGTATGCCTTACTATACTCCGATTCGTGCGCAAGTCATTGATGCTGCTCCCGCCGAGCGAAGCAGGTGGTAGACGCCGTCGCTTGCGACGACCAAACTATCTGGTTGAGTAGTGAAGCAATCGACGTAGACGGGAAGACGCTTGGACTGTAAGCAACTGTGATATACTCCATACTCAGTTTGGGAAACGGTTACGTATCTCCTTAACGCACTTACGATTGCCGATTTTCCGAGATCCATTTGCATGTAAACTCCACTTTGTGCGAGACAGTTATTTTGGCCGATAGATGCGTAGTTTCCTAGTAACACCAAGCCTCGAGGAAAGCTGATTGTCACGAAGGTTGAAGTTAGGTATGCTTGCAAGAAGACCCTAATTAATGTGAGCATTTTCCAGATGTCACAGGTATATTTATTTACTTGTACATAGCGCGGCTGTGATTAAGCCTAATCTAGCTGGCCTCGATGGTGCTGCAAATCGTACCTCTTCACGCATGGCGCTCTGTGGCAGTGGATATGGACATCTCGATCCATTCTCTCCTCCAGTGACGGAGACCTAATACAGCAGGTCAAAGAACCACTTCCACGTCTTGACTGGTTGTGTCCAGTCGGATTTTAAGTTGACCCCTTCAAAGCCTCTAGGTGGGCAACAATGACAGATCTTGGACAGCAACACTGACCTCATGAGACGAACTACAGGAACTTGTCAAAACAGCCTCGGTCGCCTTTCTTTGATGGCCGGAGATATCCTTGCGATGTCGCGGCGAATGCGGACTGTCTTATCGGAAGTCCAGCCAGCGTACTTCACTTGGTTCTCAGATAGCGATAGCCCTGCAAGCGACACCAGTTCGAGAGACGATGTCGTCCTTACTCTGTGCATATAGCAGCGGCCTCGCCACGAAGTACTTCAAGCCATCTACTTAACTTTGACAGGCGCTAGTCCGAAGGGTGTCGTCTGGTCAGGGATGCATCTCTAAAACACTTTGGTCTTCCGAGCGTTTATGAATAAACTGATCGATTTGGCAACATTATCTACCTGCTGCACCACTGTTTGTAGGTCTCCAAAGTCCAAGGCCAGCGTAGTCGAAATCAGCCAGCGGGCGCCCGGGTGCACATTTAACAGCGTCAAATCCTTGTAGGACCCTTCCGATAATTCGGACAGTGGCGTAGTTGCACAGAATAAGCAAGGGGAGACGAAATTTCTGGACGGTTGAGGAGCAGAATTCGCGTCGTTGTGGATCGATAGTAGCCTCTGGTCATGGCGACGATTTCTTCCGGGACACCGTCTACTTCCGTAATCTGCCACATGATCTCACGGTGGACTGAATCTGGTCGTCAGGTCACGTACACTCTGAGATCCCTCGAGAATGACAACGACGATCTGCAGCAATGTCGACAATGCCTATGCCGCGGTAGTCCTCGCACTTTGTTTTATATCCCTTCCTTAGGACAGGCGGGAGGAAGCCCGAGCACCAGTAATCAGGATCGAGCTCATCTCCACATGCCTGTTCACTCACCCCATAATATCAGGGTGCTAGTGTTTACACAAGATTTGCAGATTTCAGTGGGAATACTATCCTCCCCAGACGCCTTGTTGTACAACCTCTGTACTGAATTAATGGATTCTTTATGCGAAGAAGGTTACGCGACACCACATAAGTTGGCTTAGGATGAGAACTCCGCCGTTGAGGAGAAGAGGGCATGATGGGTTGGTCATCGGAGTCAAAATTCCCACCCCAGCTCTCGAAATAGGTCAAGTTGTCACCAATATTGCTGCCACTCATGTCGTGAACAGAGTCCTTCAGTGCCAAGGCCTTCTATGAACTTAGCGAATAATTTTGTCGTTTTCGAGCGCCACCAACGTTTGGGGCCTGCCTCATGGGTCACCATTTCAACCCGATCGTTTTCACGGTCATATGTAGCCGACTTTGGTGTCATTTTCCAGAGTTGGCAGACAGAGTCCTCATCATGGAACCTAACTCGATCTGTCTGAACAGACAACTGCCAGGTTCTCAGGCTGGTCTAGTTGGCGAAAGCACATAGTCAGGATGTTGAACATGACATTTGAGTTTTGGTCTTCCTTCTGTCTTAATCATTTAGAGCAGCATTTGTAGTATTCCTCTATTTATCATGATCGATTGCATAGAATCCAAACGGGCAAAGCCAAATTTAAGGACAAGATACTCGAAGCACCAACGAGTGTGCTGCTGGTAGCAAGGAAGCCAGAAGTGCTAATCCACAGCCATGTCCAGGCTGATGGCCTGCCGATCCTACTTTATGACTTTCCGACACTACTGAGAGCGATTCAGGGAGATGAATGTGTCGACTGTGAACCGTATTTCATATACAACGACCGGTACAATCTTCCGTTCCAGTCGTGGGGTACGGTTTTATCTTCCCAAGCAGTCAACAGAAATGACCATACTTCGGAAACTGAGGTGAATGCCCTTCCCGGCGCGGCCTCATGTCACGAGGTAGGTTTGTGGGGATTCAAGTTATTTGGTGGGTAAGTCATGTTCCTCCATATCACCAGTTGAAAATGTTACCTGACGTTGGTTATGTATAAGGCAAACATTGATGTATTACCTTGGTGAGTCAGTATATTGACTTCGTATTTTCGAATTTTTTACGCCTTTATGACCGTGCCTCATGATGTTGGTTGGGGCTGAAACTGCTCTCACGGCCAGATATGGCAAGTCCATCCGCCATGTAGACAATTTTGGTGGGACTATCTAAAGGCAAAACCTAATTTTCTCCCCACTCCCACTCCCGCATCGAAATCCTCTTCTAGGAAGTTGTTGAATCCGAGGAGTTCCTCCTTCTGCCCCTGAACCAGCTGGTAGACCTTCTGAGTTCAGATGACCTAAGCGTGCGAAACGAGGAACAGGTTTACTTGGCTGCAATGCGCTGGATTCTCTATGATCTCTCTACTCGTTTGCCGCATCTACCTATGCTGTTGCAGCACGTTCGTCTGCCCTTACTCTCGCCCAAATTCCTTGTTGGCGTAGTGGGTGCCAACTCCCTGATCCGTTCCAGCGAATGCTGTCGTGACCTCGTGGACGAAGCAAAAAACTACCTCCTCCTTCCACAGGAGCGACCCAAGATGCAGGGACCCCGCACTCGCCCCCGTAAACCAGCCTCCTGTGGCGAGGCCCTCTTTGCAGTGGGCGGCTGGTGCTCGGGGGACGCAATTGCGTCTGCAGAGCGCTACGATCCACGCACCCATGAATGGGTGCTCGTAGCGCCGATGAATAAGCAACGATGCGGTGTGGGCGTGGCGGTAGTCAATGATCTTCTGTACGCGGTTGGTGGTCACGATGGTCAGAGCTATCTAAACTCAGTTGAAAGGTAGGATATTACATGTTTTGTCATCTTGGTCTCCTTGAAGAAACCACTACCGCTTCAATTTCCATCTCACTTAAAGTGGTCAATTAGTAATTAGGAGTCTTGTTCGGTACATTTGACCGGTTTTCGAGTGATTAGAGATGTTGCTTGAATTTAGGCACATTTGATGTGTGAGGTCACATACTGCGTTTTTTATTTTTTATTTAGGGGAGGTAGTAGACCTCAGGTTAAGGTGATACCATACTAACAACACAGGTACTAGCCAAAAGCCCATACGCGCGTGTTTCGCCGATATTCTGCCGCTGCAGGGCGCAGCTGCGAGGGGTTCAACTCTTCAGCGGGTCCCCCAGCATTCCCTGTGTGTTTTCTGGTAGATACTCCAATCTAGAAATCGTCCCTCTTTTATTTCTTTAGAAATTATCTACGAAGTTGGAGTAGATCAGTTTATCAAAGGTCTCTAGGCTCAAACCGAGAATTTTATGTATGAATATTTGGGCCATCAGCCACAGCTAGTAACCGCGTAATATTCATTAACTGCCGACAGGTAGCTAGTAGTACACTTCGGGTTAAGGTAGTAGACTGTCAAAGAAGAAAAGTTAGTAGGAAGATTCTCCACAAACCGCACGTTTTCTAAACAACGGCGCGCCTTTTAATGCGCATCGGAATTACGGGAGAAAGTGCTCATCATTACTGTTTTCCAAGAATGCTTTATGTATCCCCAACATACGTTCACCCGGCAAAGCTGAGTGTTTGAAGATGTGGGTAGCCAACTAGTGGCGAAACTGACTCTCCTAAAGAGCTTCCATTCAGCTTAATATTATTGAAGAACTCAAATCTCTTCTGCGTTGCAAAGATATGCAACGACTGTTCATTGATTCATTTGTCGCACGTGTCGTATGTTGATGCAGATTGGTTCTTTTTCGGGATCAACTTCTGGTCGGAAGGAGATGTGAATATTGCGATCGTTGTTGGTCAACCCCTTTTTATAATGTCAGACATGTTCCTACGATTCTACGATTGGATTTTTTCGCTCTGTCGCCTCTAGGTATGATCCGCATACAAATCTCTGGTCCGCAGACGTGGCGCCCACCAACACTTGCCGTACTAGTGTGGGTGTCGCCGTGCTGGAGAGTTTCCTCTACGCCGTTGGTGGGCAGGACGGTGTAACCTGTCTCAATCTTGTGGAGCGCTACGACTCCGTCATTAACAAGTGGACAAAGGTATCTTTCAGTCATCCTATCGTGCGGCGATTTTTCTCCGCGACTTTCTTTCTGAGCTTACGCTGCATGCCCTACTACATAGTAAACACTCCCGGGTGTCTTTAACTTACCAATTTCTTTTGCACTTCTGAAAATTATTGGCCACAGATCGATTTGTTACTTTGGATACTTAATTAAAAACAGGAGATTCACCCCCCTAAAACTCTCTAGCCAAAACGAGAGTTCTTCAGGATTTATCTTTGAATCCATAGCAAGGTCTACAACCGTTGGATTGGTCTGCTGCTTACACATCTAAAGGCAGTCCTGAGTTGCTTACTTTACTACTTCTAAAGTGGTAGCCGACGTCTCAATTCGCGTGTCGGGAATCAATTGTTTTATGTTGGCACACCGAACAGATAACAGTTTTGTAGAAAGCGGTTTTTATCAAACTTATAAACTATCTTCATACTCGAGTTTCAAAGAATCCCTTCTAACTTCGTCGTGCTCCCGCCACCCCACATTCTGTCCCTGTCAAACAAAACGTTCCCTAATGGTTTAAGGTGTTTGGTGACTCGCGCTCGCCATCGTCTGTTTGGCATGATGCTAACATCATTCTGTGCGACTTGTGACAGACAGAGCGTGCTTCCTTTGGTAAAAACGGAAAACAGGCGGTGAAGGCGGGGTGGGGAGGGGCGCAGATAAGAAAAGGCGTTTAAATATTCTGGGCAGAGGGATATTTGTCGCACTTCCTTTCTTGTAGTCCGACTCACTCCCCCCCCCTCCCCAGTTGACGCCCTAAATCGCTCGGCTGTACCATCTAACCAAACGACCGAAAGCCGCTCTCTCCTCACTAATGGCTGCCCTCTTAGACTGCGCAAGGCTATTGCTACTCTCATTTTTCACTTAATTGATACAAGCATACATTAAACACATTCTTACTAGCAGCTCGCGCTCGAAAGCTTCATAGTGGCTGAATTGTTTTTACAAATGCATTCAGCAGGTCTTCTGTTACATCACCCACTAACGCTGCACTCGAAGACATGCCAAAAGCATAAAACTAATAGTTCCGTGTTTTTGGGTGGATCTTCGGAAACCCATCTCTTTCATAGTTGTGCAAAAATACTCTCCCGAGCCTACCTACCAAGCATGGAAACTTTTTAAACCCTCTACCGAAGGGGTATCTTAGTTGTGCGTGTGGAAATAATTGAGCGCGGCGTCCGTTGTTTGCTCATTGCTTGGCGTCTTTTCTTTTTGATTGAAGGGCTACACACCAGGGAGCTTCACGCAAACTACGAGATTTGATGTTTGCCTGTGCTATAGCCACGTCAATCAAATGCTGGAAAAAAAGGCGCCTAGATTGATCAGATATAGCTGACTTGTTTACCTACACATGTCACCTTTTTGCATCTGCTTTTAGTTGACTTTGCGGAATGCTCACAAAACGAGCTAGGCTGAAATAACCATTTATAGCTTATTTACTGCCGGTAGAAGCTAAGGGGAGAATTCCAGGAAACAGTTAAAAGAAAAAAGATGCAATCGATGGGACAGGAGGTTTAGCGGCCGACTAACGGTTTCAGTTATAGCGAGCCAAATTACCGAGTAATTATGACACCGAAATCTGTTGAGATTAGGGCAGTTAACGAGTCGGGTGCGGACAAACAAGCAGTCAACGCATCAAGCATGAACTCCAACGATGAACGCAAGAGCTGCCATCTATACTGGACATGTGGCTGCATGGTACGGCGGCCCATAAATACTGCGCCCCTTGTTCCTCCACTAACCTTGTCTGCGGTTGCATCGAATAATTTGTTCGATTTCGAATCCGAAAGTGCAGGTTTTGCTTGCCGTTATCAACCAGCTAAAGGCTGAGACGACCCGAGATTTGAACGCGACCGTCGAACGTTCGATCTAGCGCCATACAACTAGAGGCACGAACTCACGTCCCAAGACAAAATAGGGGTATGCTGCTATATTTAATCGAATCGGTGAATTACCACTTCCACTTGATTTCTCATGCATCACATCTCTGAAAAGCAGTTCTGACTTGCACTTGCGAGGCAGTTATACAGCATCCCCCCTTTCGCACTCTGTCGTGTGCCCTCGGCAATTCCGAGTTGGCCTTCTGTCAGTGTTGCATCCCTTTTCCAAGTGGTATTTGTATTCTCATCTGAAAACCGACTGTAATGACAAATGGCATATCCTAGTTTACGCGTCTGACTACATTTGTACATGCAAATGTGCCCCTAAAGGGGGCCACACTGGACATACGCTGCACTAACAGGGGAACCAGATTGGGGCACGCGTTAGCCGGACTGCGTAGTCCTCGCCTCCCATGACAAATGCTACGTATTGGCGTGTGGTGGCACACCAAGACTCACACCGAGCCAGCCACTGTCGCCTACTCCCCGCACCACATTGCTCGGACAGCGGACTGGTGTATGGGAGAGGCAAGGGAGGATGTGGTCGGCGACTCTGAAAACTCTATTCTCCACGGCACTCCAGTGCATTTCTCACTATAAAAAGTGTGATACGCCTCGATACTATCCCCACGCGCCAAAATTCATGGCTTTAAAGACTGCATACTGACGAGATAACACGGCCCTCCTCACAAAACGAAGAGTCAGGCTACAATGGCTCCTTCTTAATTGCGGTCCCCTGTCACACTCCCCCTGATATCCGTTCCAATGAAAACCTGCCCATTCGCGCGCGAACCGGGTCCTATGCGGCATGTGTAGACGGGCTGTTTTACATTGTCAGTTACTGCGTCCGAGCCCGCCTTCAGTCGTCTTGACCCAGTCATGCAGCCTGATCCAGGTGGGTGAGGTAGGAAAGATTGCGGTAGATGCTTCGCAGGCCTGCTCTCACAATAAATTAATTCACGCACAAGTCTCCGTCCTGCGCCCACCGCGCTGTGGGGCACACGGTGGCCGTCATTGCCTGCGACGGCCAAAACGACGATATGCTCTGCACCGATTCATGCACAAGCTCACGTTGTCTTTCCTGTCAGGTCGCAAGTATGTCCACCCGTCGTCTCGGTGTCGGTGTGGCGGTTATCAATGGGCAGCTCTTCGCAGTGGGCGGTTCTGATGGCCAACACCCGCTCTCCTCCGTTGAGCACTACGATCCGCGCGTGGGCACTTGGCATCGCGTCGCCTCCATGACGGCGAGACGAAAGCACCTCGGCGTGGCAGCCTTTGGTGGTTACATCTATGCCGTTGGCGGTCGCGATGATTCTACTGAACTTTCCTCTGCAGAATGCTACGACCCCCGAGCCAATGCCTGGTGTCCCGTCGTGGCCATGACCTCCCGACGCAGTGGGGTATGTTACGCAGCAATTCCGTTTTCCCAGCCCATTTATCATCCTTTGGTCTCTTTCTTTTCGCCTGCTTATTTTATTCCCCACCTGTAAGGTTCATTCCCTTTTGGTAACTTTTCTCATTGCTCTTTTCTGTCCACAGTTCCCTTCCACCCCGTGCATTTTACGCACACTTTTGTCGATTTTTTAATCTCTTTTTCAGTAGATTAAAGCAATGTTTTTCCGGAATAAATATGAATGAGGCAAAGGCGACAAAGCATGCAGAATTTATTGACGTCATAAATTTCGAGACCTCTCATTCAGCTGCACACGGTCATTCCATAATTTTATGACGAGGCAAACTGTTCAATCAGCGATCGACCTAGAGAGATGAAACGTCATCGGTAACATAAAGCATGGATCTCGAAATTTATGACGTCAGCAAATTCTGCATGCTTTGTCGCCTTTGCCTTATTCAAATCCCTTTTTTCTCATCTGCTAGCTTTTGTTCGTCCTTTTTATCCTTTTACCACCACCACCACCACCACCACCACCACCACCACCACCACCACCACCACCACCACCCACCAAGTTCTTTATTTAGTTCTCCAGCTACATTTTCCGCTCCCATCTCCCTTGTTAGTTCGTCCACTTCCCCTTCTCCAATCTCTGCCATAAACATACTTTGTCCTTTTCAGCTCTTCTTGGTCATTTTACGCCCTCTATTTCCTTTTTTCTTAACCTCCATCGGCATCGTCATTCCACCCTTTTTGTTCTCAGTGTCTTTTCCATCCGCACCCGTTTGTGCATTTTTCAGTATTAGCCTCTTTACCTGAAACTATTCTACGTCCTGCTTCCCAACATCCTCGCGCCTGTCTTACGTCTACGGCATTTTGGCTTATCCTCCCGTCGATCTCTGTCACCTACTTTCTGCTGTCAGTCGTACGCACCTTCCTTTCCCATTTTTATTCCCTTGATATATATTTTGCGCCAAATGCCACCCCTTTTTGCCTCTCTGCCATAGGTGGGACTGACGGTTGTGGGCAATCAACTAATAGCCATTGGCGGCTTCGACGGTGCCAGCTACCTCAAGTCAGTTGAGGTTTACGACCCCGAGGCTGTATGTTGGCGTGTTCAGGGAAATATGAATTCTCGTCGCCTTGGCGGCGGTGTTGGAGTTGTCCGTATGGCCAGCTTCAGTCTTCCCGGGGACAATTTGTACGACGTTGACAACTTCGAGCGCATTTCTAATGCCCTTTCTCTTTCAACCACCGCCTCATCTCCAGCCGCCGTCGCCACTTCTGCTCGTCCTGGTCTCTCTATGAGCGGAGGTCTTGGAGAATGCTCGTCCTCAGTCTCGGGCATCCCCGACATAAATCGTTCTCTCCGTTGATTGCTTGACCGCATCTCTACATGGCTTACGTTGTACTATGAGTTCCTGCTTTCTAACAATAGTTTGCCCGGATCTCTGGCACTGGCCGCTTCATAAGGGCCCTTTTGCCCCCCTTTGCACAGGTTAATCGCCTCTGTTGTCAGGTGCTGCGGTGATCAGCTGTCCTGTGGCACTAACTTAACTTACACCGTCATCTCATAGTGAGAAGTCTTGCCGTCTGCACAGTCTCTTCGTCGGGACTCTTTTGCGACCTCGGCTCTCTATCGTCACTCCGGTCACTGGGCGGTTGCTGATGGACTTATCTTGTGTCTAGATCCTCCACGAGATACTCAGAAACAGACCGCTCGCTAAAATATGGTCTGACAACTCGTTTGGAGCGCCCTACTCACCAAGTTTGCCTAGTAAATTCAACATTTTAATCCCAGCCTCTTATCATGCTGTCATTGGTCACACTTCTTATGTTCTCATAGTTCCATGCCTCTATTGAAATCAAGGGTTTTCATCGTTCATGGAAGGTGTCAGCGCGTTCTTCCTGCGCCCAGTGCATCGCTTTGGTGCAAAACGTCCTTGTGTCGAACGCTATGCCAAATCATCCTTCCTACCCCCTCCCCCGCTCCCTGCCCCCGCGTGTGCGCCCAGCCTGGCATAAAAAGTAAACGTGTCACTGTACATAGATCATACAGGCGTGTTTCTTCTAATAAACGTTACCATATACACTTGCTGGCATTGGCCGTCTCTTTGGGGGGCCCTACTCTATCGCTAAGCTGTCATTCCGTAAATCACACCCACTATTAAACATTTAAGTAGCAATTACTTGGATATCGAAATAATTTCGGCCCAGCATACGGTTCACTCTCATGTAGTGCCACAGTTAACCCAGAGTTAAAACAGTGATAATTGCAGTCTTTTTAAAGACAACCTCCACTATTCTCCGGGGGATTGACCCCGCTTGTGTGTACAAGTCCCTCTTAGACTCTTCATTCGTACGTCGCGTACCTAATTCGGGTACATAAGGGACGGCTTGAAATAACTTTTGTTTTCTCGTTTCAGTTGATTTTATTAGAGACCAAGAAGGCCGGATATCTCGACAGTCTGTAACGTGTTTCAGCCACTGATTTCATTATAGCAATCTAACCTTCGGAAAATATAAAACTCATTGGACTTATACAATTATTAGACGGCCGTTTATGCATTTCGCCAATCTAGAACACCATTATTTATCACGGATGGCGAAGCAACGTTTGAGAAAGTGGGGGTATCGTTGCCAATCTGCGCTGCTAGCCGACAGACGTCTATGTTCCTATTGTGCTTGCATGTTTGAAGCAGTGGCATGGTGCGTTCGGTCGAAATTCCGCCTCGGCTGGCGTAATGGAAAGGATACCAACAAAGACGTTGGCAATTATGCATAATGCGTCTCAGTCGTTTGTCGGCTGACTGGCAGCTGCGGGTCTAAATTGCTGTTGTGGTCATTTGCTTTTTTATTTGACCGTCTACCGCCCCCGGAACTAATCAATTGCTACGTTCCAACTGATCGGTTTAGGTCTGGTGGGAGGTAGGATGGTGCATGTTGTATGATCTACCATACTGACAGCGCAGCTACTGCCTGAAAGCCCGAACATGTGTTCTGCCGTCGCCTGACACAGCCGCAAGAGTGGGCTCACCAATGGCACTCCAACGTTCCCTGTTTGGTTCCTGGCAGATACCCTGCCTTTGAAATGTCACCTTTTTAATCATACAGCGGCAGGACATCGACGAAATACGTGTGTGGGCTTTTAGCTAGTACCTGTGTTGTCAGTATGGTAGATAGTATGTGCATATTTCGGACTGCCTGTTGACAGTTTATAAATAGTACGCCGTTATCCCGCCGCAGCTGACGGATTTCGACCAAGATATTTATGTCACACCTCCCCCTCCGACCATAAAGCCTAGCCTCAAATCATTTACTCCAAGTTAACGCATAAGTTTTTCAGGAGATTAAAAAGCAGAAGGGTAATTCCAACTGCCAGCTCTTGCACGTAGTAAATCCGAATTCGGCTTTCGATTAGTGATAGGAAGTTGATTCAGATCATGCATTGTGTAATGGCTTCGGAAATCTTTCCGACGACTAAAGGTTGTTTGAAGATCGTCAGAGGTACTGCATTTAACTGAGGGAGGCAGGTCTGCAGCCGAAAAGTGCGATGGTTAACGGCTCAAATAGACACCATTACTACAACTGCTGGTTTCTGGTGCGTAGTGCGCTTTGCCGAACGTTCTCTGCAGTCTGTCTCCTGAATGGAAACCTTTTTCTTAGTGGGCAGAAAAAAACATCGTTTGATGCGCTTATGGCCTAGAATATAGTATAGTATTCAATGCATGTAAAGTTTTATTAATTGCATATTGGATACAATTTACGGAGAAGTGAGGACTTTTGAGATGTGCGCGTGCACCAAAAGTATGCTTTTAAGTGAGAGGGCCAGTTGAGGTTGAGGTTAGCTTTCGCATTAAATCTAGGCTTCCGCCAGTTTGCTCGCAGAAAACAAATGAATAGATGACTCAGAAAGTACGACAAAGTGTCCAGTCTTTACTAAAACGTTGGAGTATATATTCGCCAGTGGTTGCCTTGCGGAAAATAAATAAATAAAATTAATAATCTGAGCCTGGAAATGCACACTCATCTCTTAAAAGTCGCTTCACGCGTGCGGTTTGGGCGAAACGCGATATGCTCAGAATGCTGTCCTCGAATCGGCCCACGTCGTAGTTGGGCTGCCACTGCCCAAAATAACCGTTTTGCCCATTTTCCGTGAACCCTCTTGGGAGCTGTCGCAATTGCACGGTTTTCTGAAAGGTCGGGCTTCGGGAAGAAACTATACAACCTTGCGATGGAACTGAAATGCGGCTACTGCCTTGGAGAAAAGTACCTTAAAGCCGTGTTCTCCAAAGGTCCTAGGTGTCAACCTTTCGAACAGTGCCGTAAGCAGCTCCCATTAATGTTCGCTGCCTTTGGATGAGAGGCCACGCAAGCATCTGCCGAATGACACTGTTTCACTTACATTTCGGGTGTTTCAATTGATACCTAGCCGCAGACACAGAGACGCAGCATAAATGCCGGCAGTGCGAATGATCCAGGGATCGGTGATTGAGTTATCTCCTCGCCTTCAAACTTGGGACGCCACGACGACGGTGAATGCCAGACTCTGACAATTCCAGAGATGCAAGTTGCTTTTATGTGTAGTGACGTGAAAAAGCCAACAACTCCCTGTAAAAAATTGGAGCAACGTTCAAAAGCAAATTATCATCACGCTGCATTCTTGCGGCTACTTTCTTTTTTCTAATTCTACTCGCAATAGACCGGCTTATTTCTTACATTGTTACGTCGGGGTCATCAATGTAAGAAATAAGTCGGTCTGTTGCGAGTAGAATTTTTAAAAAAGTAAAGTATTTGCAAGAAGGCAATGTGACGATAATTTGTCTCTGAAAGTTGTGCCAAGGTTTTTTATAGGTCGTATTTGTAACACACTAAAGTAAAACGCCTTTTCATGTCACTGCAAATGCAATCGAAAGAACTTCGACCTTTCGTGGAACATTTTCCAATCGATACATCAGCCGTCTGAGTGTGCCTCCCAGTCGCCGCTCAGTACTTTTGCGAAATATTTTGAAATAGCATCCACAGAAGCACCGTAAACTTGAAAAACTTGAGCTACGTGTCTCCCCTATCTACCTTGAAAACCAAAAGTTTGACTGAAATCATTTTCAGGGCGCCTTACTGTTCAGGCTGAGACCAAGCAGTAACTTAAGTCGCTTACTCAGCCTTCCTGTGTGCATGTGTGTTTACGCGTATCGTGTCTATTGACCGACATTTGTGGCACGTCCTACATCTGCCATCCAAAGCCAGTTCCAGCATTCGTATACCAGTGTTACTGACCATTACGCGACGCAGTCCTACGCCCTCAAAGACTCCTGCGGTTAATCTCGTATGCGATGTTGTAAACAATGTATACTGCGTCAAACCAGTTTGTAGCATGCCTGTCGCATTACATACAGTAAAACGGAAAGGCGACAAGCTCTAGGATTCAGAGCTATGTGGAGGTTATGTGGTGTGCAAGCTGTGCTTGGAACCCTGACACATGACTATTGGGAGAGTTAATGTGAAGGCAGGAGACCAAAGGATTTGGAAAAACACTACACACAGCGTCTGATAAGCATATTACGTCACCGCAGTTGGGACATTTCGACGAAGAAAGGGAGCGAAGACATGGAAGAATTGAGGAACCTACTTTGTCATATCCAGTCGTCAGGGGGTCAGAAACCCGAGATCAAAACTGAGTATCAAAAGATTGATCTGAGGAGTCCTTGTCAGCAAGTAACCTTGCTAAAGACTTGATATTCTACGAAGAAAAACGGATTGGGCAAACGGGTCACCACTGCACGGCTTAGAAAGTACAGTATAAGAAATGAAGCATTAACCAAAATTCCGAAATGTATTTTCGATTCGGAACGATAAATTAAGATAACTTAGTGATCGTGCGGCAGAATTCCATGATATTTAAATCATATTAGAGGGCTGGCGGCAAAAACTGCACTGTAGAAATGACTACTTAGGTATATGAATTTTTGTCATTCATTTTTGGTGTGCCCCTGTAACTCCAAATATATTTTGCAGAAAACGCGCACAAAATATTCGTTATCTTATCCGTTTAGCAGCGGATCACACCTTTGAATTTTATGCTTGAGGGAAGAGTATAATTCGGTTTTCAAAAACTTCAAATTCTGAATAATTTTAAACCCGAGCTGCCCTCTCTCTTGCATTTATTGCTTTCAACCTACAAATTGCGTATTTTCCGTGTAAGGAAAATCATACATTTATGTTTGCTATTAAGAAGATATCACATGGGGTTCGAAAGGTTTTGCAGTGACTTTGAACCATATTGTACATTTTAATAGCAAAATTACAAAATTCGGAGATTTGATATCGAATCTCCAAATTTTGTAATTTTGCTATGTTTTGTGGGTGGACATTTTAG